ATCACAGAAAGCTGGGAGGTATGGGTTCAATCACAGAAAGTCGGGAGGTATGGGTTTGGTCAGAGAAAGCTGGGAGGTATGGGTTTGGTCAGAGAAAGTTTGAAGGTATGGGTTTGGTCAGAGAAAGTTGGGAGGTATAAGTCTGGTCAGAGAAAGCTGGGATGAATGGGTTTGGTCAGAGAAAGGTTGGAGTTATGGGTTTGGTCACAGAAAGCTGGGAGTTATGGGTTTGGCCACAGAAAGCTGGGAGTTATGGGTTTGGTCAGAGAAAGCTGGGAGGTATGAGTCTGGTCAGAGAAAGTTGGGAGGTATGGGTCTGGTCAGAGAAAGCTGGGAGGTATGGGTTTGGTCAGAGAAAGTTTGAAGGTATGGGTTTGGTCAGAGAAAGTTGGGAGGTATAAGTCTGGTCAGAGAAAGCTGGGATGAATGGGTTTGGTCAGAGAAAGGTGGGAGTTATGTTATGGGTTTGGTCACAGAAAGCTGGGAGTTTTGGGTTTGGTCACAGAAAGCTGGGAGTTATGGGTTTTGTCACAGAAAGCTGGGAGTTATGGGTTTGGTCAGAGAAAGCTGGGAGGTATGGGTTTGGTCAGAGAAAGCTGGGAGGTATGGGTTTGGTCAAAGTTGGGAAATATGGGTTTGGTCAAAGTTGGGAAGTATGGGTTTGGTCAAAGTTGGGACGTATGGGTTTGGTCAAAGTTGGGAAGTATGGGTTTGGTCAGAGAAAGCTGGGAGGTATGGGTTTGGTCAGAGAAAGCTGGGAGGTATAGGTTTGGTCAGAGAAAGCCGGGAGGTGTGTCTGGTCAGAGAAAGTTAGGAGGTATGGGTATAGTCAGAGAAAGCTGAGAGCTATGAGTTTCATCAGAGAAAGTTGAAAGGTATGGGTTTGGTCAGAGAACGTCAGTAGGTATAAGCCTGGTCAGAGAGAACTGGGAGGTATGAGTTTGGTCAGAGAAAGCTGGGAGCTATGAGTTTCATCAGAGAAAATTGAAAGGTATAAGTTTCGTCAGAAAAAGTTGGTAGGTATAAGCCTGGTCAGAGAGAGCTTGAAGGTATGGGTTTGGGCAGAGAGAGCTGGGAGGTATGGGTTTAATCACAGAAAGCTGGGAGGTATGGGTTTGGTCAGAGAAATCTGATAGGTATGGGTTTGGTCAGAGAAAGCTGGCAGTTATGGGTTTGGTCAAAGTTGGAAGGTATGGGTTTGGTCAGAGAAAGCTGGGAGGTATGTCTGGTCAGAGAAAGCTAAGAGGTATGGGTCTAATCAGAGAAAGCTAAGAGGTATGGGTCTGGTCAGAGAAAGCTGGGGAGGTATGGGTTTGGTCAGAGAAAGCTGGGAGGTATGGGTTTTGTCTGAGAAAGTTGGGAGGTATGGGTTTAGTCAGACAAAGCTGGGAGCTATGAGTTTCATCAGAGAAAGCCTGGAGGTATGGGTTTGGTCAGAGAAAGTTGGAAGGTATGGGTTTGATGAGAGAAAGCTGGAAGGTATGGGTTTGGTCAGAGAAAGATTGGAGGTATGGGTTTGGTCAGAGAAAGCTGGGAGGTATGGGTTTGTTCAGAGAAAGTTGAGCTATGGATTTTTGTTGGAGAACGTTATAAAGTATGGGTTTGGTCAGAGAAAGCTGGGAGGTATGGGTTTGGTCAAAGTTGGAAAGTATGGGTTTGGTCAGAGAAAGCTGGGAGGTATGGGTTTGGTCAAAGTTGGGAAGTATGGGTTTGGTCAAAGTTGGGAAGTATGGGTTTGGTCAAAGTTGGGAAGTATGGGTTTGGTCAAAGTTGGGAAGTATGGGTTTGGTCAGAGAAAGCTGGGAGGTATGGGTTTGGTCAGAGAAAGCTGGGAGGTATGGGTTTGGTCAGAGAAAGTTGGGAAGTATGGGTTAAAGTATAACTAAAGGGAAAACTTTTTTAGTTTTGGATAGAGTGGAGATGGATTAGAACCCCTGTCAGGTTTTTATTGCTGTTTGTGCCCCCGTCAGGGAGATCTACCCTCTTTATTGGTCCTGTTTACTAATATAATTGAAAGTGAAAGTAAAAGAACATTCCCTAATATTGGGTTGTCCACAGGACAGTAATAGAGGGGAAATCTTCCACTGGGCGCACTAGTTCTGGTAACCTGAGGGCCCCAAGGGATTCCCTTAATTTACAGGTATTTCCTCTCACTTCCTGGGGTTTAAAACCCTCCCTTACGCTCTCCAAAATGAAAAGAAAATATTTTCCCTGTATTCGACAGAACTTTAAGACCCGGTCACATCAAAGCTGATTTTGAAATCGTGCAACTTACATTGAAGTCACACAATTTCAAAATCGGGTGACCTGCCAATTTCAGTTGTGATTTGCAAGACATCTAACAGATGTCTATTCAAATTGCAACAAAAGTAGTACATGCACTACTTTAGATATGACCGCTCTAATAGCGGACAATAGGGTGCGACTTGGCATACGATTTGCAAGTCGCATGGCATGCAAATCACAAGCTAAATTGCACCCAATGAGACCAGGGTGTAAGCCCTGGTTCACACTGGATGCGACTTGGCATGTGATTTGCATGCCCTGCGACTTGCAAATCACATGCCAAGTCGCACCCTACTGTCCGCAATTGGATTGGCCATATTGGTACGGTTTCGACTTGGTCAGGGCCGCACTGATTTCAAAAGTAGTACATGCAATACTTTTGGTGCGATTTGCATAGATATCTGTGTCAGATCGCACCTCAAATCAGTGGGTCCCCCGACTTTGAGATTTCAAAGTCGGCTTGATGTGAACGGAGGCAATTTGCAAGTCGCAGGGCATGCCATGTCGCATCCAGTGTGAACCAGGGCTTAGGCTGGCCATAGATTATCCAATTTTCTTGAGATTTTTGGTTTAGATTTACCAAAAACTATATAATAGGAGGCCAAACCTAACAACACTTTCAATTGTATCCAATTAGGCAGGCTCTTGCACTACATAGTTGAAGGTAAATCTATAGGAAATTGGGCAGAAATTGGACAGAAAATTGTATAGTGTATGGTCAGCCGAATGCAGGCAATAGATGGGTCGAAAATTGGCCAATTTTTTGGCCGAAAAAAAAATCAGCCGATTTTCGCACCGTTAATGGGTTAATTGGTCAGCCGTTTTTCTGGATTTTGTCAGATTTTTTTGATCAGTAAAGTTGGAAAAAAATCGGCAGATTTTGGTGATCGGCCGATTTTCACGGCAATGATGGGCAAATCGGCCGATCTTTTTACCAATAAAAAAATCTGTGCATGAGCCGTGACCTGCAAGAAAAAGAAGACAAAGAAGAAGAAGAGAAAGAGTAAGAAGAGAAAGAAGAAGAAGAGAAAGAAGAAGAAGAGAAAGAGTAAGAAGAGAAAGAAGAAGAAGAGAAAGAGTAAGAAGAGAAATAAGAAGAAGAGAGAGGAAGAAGAGAAAGAAGAGGAAGAGAAAGAAGAAGAAGAAGAGAAAGAGTAAGAAGAGAAATAAGAAGAAGAGAGAGGAAGAAGAGAAAGAAGAGGAAGAGAAAGAAGAAGAGGAAGAAGAAGAGAGAATAAGAGAAAGAGTAAGAAGAGAAAGAGGAAGAAGAGAAAGAGGAAGAAGAGAAAGAGGAAGAAGAAGAAGAGAAAGAAGAAGAGAGAAGAAGAGGAAGAAGAAGAAGAGAAGAAGAGAGAAGAAGAAGAAGAAGAAGAAGAAAGAGTAAGAAGAGAAAGAGGAAGAAGAAGAAAGAAGAAGAGAAAGAGTAAGAAGAGAAAGAGGAAGAAGAGAAAGAAGAAGAGAAAGAGTAAGAAGAGAAAGAGGAAGAAGAGAAAGAGGAAGAAGAGAAAGAGGAAGAGAGAAAGAGGAAGAAGAGACAGAGGAAGAAGAGAGAGGAAGAAGAGAAAGAAGAGGAAGAGAAAGAAGAAGAGGAAGAAGAAGAGGTAGAAGAGAAAGAAGAAGAGAGAATAAGAGAAAGAGTAAGAAGAGAAAGAGGAAGAAGAGAAAGAGGAAGAAGAGAAAGAAGAAGAGGAAGAAGAAGAGAAAGAAGAAGAGGAAGAAGAAGAGAAAGAAGAAGAGAGAAGAAGAGGAAGAAGAAGAGAAAGAAGAAGAGAAAGAAGAAGAGGAAGGAGAAGAAGAGAAAGAAGAAGAGGAAGGAGAAGAAGAGAAAGAAGAAGAGGAAGGAGAAGAAGAGAAAGAAGAAGAGGAAGAAGAAGGAGGAAAAAGAAGAAGAGGAAGAAGAAGGAGGAAAAAGAAGAAGAAGGAGAAAGCAGAAGAAGAGGAAGAAGAAGAAGAAGAAAAAGAGAAAGAAGAAGAGGAAGAGAGAGAAGAAGTGGAAGAGAAAGAAGAAGAGGAAGAAGAGAGGGGAAGAAGAGGAAGAAGAGAAATATGAGGAAGAGAAAGAGAAAGCGAAAGAGAGAAGCAGAAGAAGAAGAGAAAGAAGAATTCCAGTCCGCTATTATATTTGACATGAAAAAGTATTGCGGTTGCAACAATGTATCTATTTGTATCCAAACAAAACCATCTGTATCCACAATGGATACAAATAGATACAATGTTGCAACCGCTATACTTTTTCATGTCAAATATAATAGCAGAGCTCTCTGCAGGGACAGAAGTAATTAAATGCCATTGTTTTCTCCCCGTCGATTGGCTGCACAAGTCAGAGAACACCACTAGTGAAAGAGACACAGCCAGGGAAATCCATGAACACAGCACTTTGCTTAGATTTCACGGTCAGCCTGGGCAGCAGGTGTCGCTGTGTAGGGAAGATGACATTCAAGCATGTAATATACAATGTCTCGATTATCCAGGGTAGCAGGCGTCGCTATGTATGAGAAGGGGACGTTCCGGTGTAGCGGCAAGATCTGTCCCCCATGAAGATCTGTCCCTCCTGACGCATCTGCGCATGTCACGGTACCGGCAGACACTCCAGGCTTTCGGTCAGCCGGCCAATAGGTGTCGCTGTGCAGGACATTCCAGCAGGCTGTGTGCTGTGCTCCTAGCGCTCTTCCGGTTCCGGTGCTCAGCTGGGCTGTGTGTTGTGTGGCGGCAACATGACTCCGGAGCACGAGCTGGAGAGTGAAGATGATGATGCGGCGCCGGAGGAGGTCACCTTCCAAAGCGCTAAAAGCCGGGCGGAGGAGAGCGCCCGCCTGAGAAGGGAGGTGGCCAGCAGGTAATGAGCAGCTAGAAAGGCTCAGCTCCCCGTCCATGTGTGTGTCCTGTGGCTGCATCCCCCAGTCTGCAGAATATAGCCCAATAACAATGCAGAGCAGGGGGAAGGCAATGCATTCACTGTAGACTCCCACAATCGGTGGTCCGATTACCCACAATAAATCCCAGTCCCCATGGGTGGTAAGGCTAGGTTCACCTATATGTTTGGGTAGTGCTGCTGCGGATCCGCACCACCCACACAGAATAATGCGGCCCGTGGACGGGTGTTATTACATACTGATGGCACGCCGTCTGCACTGGAAATCGCAACCGTACTGGGAACCAAGGTTCTCGTGTGGGCTGTGTTTTCAGACCTGCAGGGACTTCTTCCCTGCGTGTCCCAGGGCATGGGAGTCCATTCAAATGAATAGGCTATTGTGCCTGCGCAAAACGCGGCCCGCAGGAACACAGATATGTGCACCAGAGGTTAATGAGCCTCTGCCTTCAGTCTATTGGCTTTCCTTCCGGTGGTGTTTACAAACATTGTGCCTATGGATCTGGTGAAATCGGTGAGACTCTGACTTTGCGGTACCAATTTGGAAAAAAAGTTCCTGCTGTTTTTTGTGATTTCATGTGCGACGTGCATAGACATTTGTAGATGAAGTCACACAGACGTCAGGCAAGTCGCACATGAAATCGCACTGACCTGCAGCTACTTCAAGAGAAGTACACAATTTCAGAGTTGCATTCAGTGTGATCCAGGGGTAAGGAAGGGGTGCTTCCTCTATTGTTGAATGGGCTAAATCAGTGGTCTCCAAACTGTGGCCCAGGGCCGAATGCGGCCCTTTGCTTGCTTTTATTTGGCCACTGGGACACTTTAATTCACTGACGCCAATGAAAGGCATAATTCCTCCTAATGACACCAATGATGGGCAAATTCCTACCAATAAGATAAATGGTGGGGCATAGTGTCCCCCCCCCCCCCATGACACCAATAAAGGGGCACAATACCTCCCAGTGACACCAATGATGAGGCACAATTCCTCCCACTGTCGCACAATGATAGGAGATTGTTTACTTCCACTGATGCTGGGATATTTTGTATTCCCGTTGACCATAGTCCAGCCCCCCTAAAGAATGAAGGACCATAAACTGGCCTTTTGTTTAGGAAGTTTGGAGGCCCCTGGTCTAAATGTTTGTAAACATTATGGCTTACACTTGATTGTTTCATAGTGATCACAGGGCACACAATCACTCTGATCTGTGCAAATTATAGCTCAGGTCACAGGCGCACTGGCAGCCCAAGTGCATTTTCTGAATGGCACTCCCGAAACTCATATCCACCTCCCCACCATTTTTCCTTCCAATACGTCAGTAATGAGCTGGCTAAAGAGACCCTGTCACCAGTTTAAGGTTTTTTTTTTTTTTTTCCTATTTATTTGAAGGAACTTGCTCCAAAGCCTTAATAAAATCACTGCCCAGAAATGGGGAAACATGAAAGAATGTGACAGTTCAGTTGTGTCCAGTTTTTTTCTGGATGCTCTCTGCTAGGTTGCAGCCAAATGACAGCGCTGAGACTACTTCAGAGCACTGCTCTTGATCCCAACATATGTCAACAAATGAAACTGAGGCTGTTATCTGAAGGGGCTCTCCTGCACACAACTTTAGTTCTCTTTGTGTACATATTCTGAAGCTGAATTCAAGAGAAGCTTTCTGAGTGCAGGCTTGGCGTTGTCTATTTAATTGATGGAGCAGCCAGGAGAGGAGCAACAGAGGATGTTTGAAAAGAGAAAAAGATCAGCTTCCTCTGATTCTTCCCCTGCCTCTAAGTCTGCAATGCATTAACTATTCAAGAGGGCGGCCCAGCCAGGCTAGGGGACATACCTGTTAGTTGCAGCCTGTCTTCCAGGTTTTGGGCACACGTGTGCCTCCTGCTGACCCATGTTGTGATTGGACACAGCACAAATTTGTCAGCAGGTTTCAGGCATTGATTTCAGCTGAAACCTGATGAGCATCCAATCACAGTTTACAAACGCACAGAACAGTGAGTAGAAGCAGCACACAGTTAACCCCTTGATGTTAATCCCTTCCCAGCCAGTGTCATTAGTACAGTAATATATCTGATCATGATATTTGTGTCACTATAGTTGTCGGTGTCCCTCCCAGTCAGTGTCTGTTAGCACCAGCTTACCCGCCACACTATAAAGTTGCTAATCGGCACCATTATTAGTATAGCATCTATATCTGCATGACTTCCAGTATATATACCATCGTGTGTAGACACTATAACATTCACACAAATCAATCAATATATACTTATTAGGATTTTATTTTTTACCAAATACATGTAGCAGAATAATAGAATTTTGGACTAAATTTATGAAGAAATTTGATTTTATTGGATAGGTTTTATAACATAAAGTAGAAAATGCCTTTTTTTTCCCCCAAATTTTCAGTGTTCTTTTGCCAATATAAGGCAAACCGAACTGCTTTCAGTTGGCCAGATGAATATGCCTTACCTGGGTTGCATTCCCCCCTTTTGCCCTAAAGTGATATATTTATACTTGCCTGCTCTGTGCAATGGCTCTTCTGGGACCCCCTGCCAGTGCTTCTGGCTTCTTCGCCCTGCTGAGTGCACTTGTTATGGGGGCACTTGTGCATGCTCACTCCTGATCCCCGCTCTGTGTGTAGCCTTGCAGCCCCTTTCTCCTCATTGACTGTGATTGACAGCATTGGGTGCCAATGGCTCCTGCTGCTGTTTCTGGGACAAAAAGGAAGGAGAGAACTGGGAAAGCCGCTACTCGTGCACTTTATGCACATATCTTTCCACACCAAAATTTTTAAAGAATCTGCAGACATGCAGATGTGCCACTCGTATCTTCTGGGGCATTTAGGAGCTGGAAGAGACTGGCTGTGCACAGCAGTGGATTTCAGCGCATTCACACAAATGCGGCCAGTTAAAGGTGGATGGGCAGTATAGTGTCCAGCATCATTTGTGTGCATGCGCAGAAATCTGCAGCACATGAGCCATAAAGTTGCAGTTTAGTAACCCACTGCTTCCTGGGATAGCTGTGATGTAGCAGTCCCAGGAGGCAGCAGGGCCCTGCCTAGATAGGAAACCTGGATGTGCGATCTTTCAGCAACCCGTAGCTAAAATTAAAAAGCATTTAATTAGCATTTGTGTAAGGGGGAGGGACAGAATAAGGAATTGTTGTTTGAGTTTAGTAATGCTATACATTTGTGGTCTCTTCAATGACTCTGCCCCTCAGGCACTGTCACTTTTAAAATCGGCACAGCAGTGTGGGGCTCCACCTGCACAGGCATGTCATTCATTTATAGAGATCTTTGAATAAATAAGCTACAAGTCCTGTCCTCTATTGTGGCAGCTGGACTTGTAGTTCTCAATGGACTACAAGTGCCCAGATCCTGTGTTCAGCACTGTCCATTTTATTTATTATAAAATCTAATAAACTCTCATGTAGATCATAGCAGTCAGGCAATCTTTCCTATGATTTTGCTTAAAAAAAGTTTCAATAACTTCTATGATCACTAAAACAAACTGATAATACTTTCGTCAGATCTAAATGTGAATTTTCTTTACCAGAGAGAAGGCCCTCTTAAAAGAGAAGAGGAAACGCAAACAAGAGCTTTTCAGTGAGCAAAAGGTAAAAACCATATTGTCCAGTCATACAATGTAATGGTGTTGCATGATCATGCAAAATGTTGCAAACAGAAAATTTCTGAATTGCGCAATTCCTCAGTACACCCCTGTATTTAACGTCAACTTCTCCTTGAGCACCATTAGTAATGGAAAAAACATTGTACCTGTGTTCTTTTACACCATATATGTTAAGTGACCCATCAAAAAACCATGACATTGCTAAATACTCCAAGTGTTGCACCCGTGGACTTGATTAGAGACAGATTACTATTTTAGGGTGCAGAAACTACAGACATACCCTCTTTGTAAGATTCTCATAATATATGGATTTTCAATTGCTGATAGACTCGGGCCTTTCAATCTCCTTATGATCTCGCCCTGTCTGCTATTGAAAAGGTGTAAAGCTCCCAGTCAGACTAATGCTTTAGTCCTCATGCACACTGGACGTTTTTACAGCGGCTGTTTTTGGCTTTTGACGTTTTTTCTACAGCCAGTAAACTCCCCAGCATGTTATTCTTTGTCTGTGCACACTGTGCAGCACTGTCAGAGAGGCTGACCCAGTTGCTGAACGAGCTGATTCGGGTGGATCCGAACATTATTGTTGGGATCATTTCCAGAGCCTGGAGCAGCTCTTTGATGTCAGTTGGCAGTGGATTTTATCCCTCTGCTGGCTGATTCTTGGTTGCAGGAGAGCACTAAGTGTGGTCCTGTGACCCACAGGAGAAGTATGGCCAAAAAACGTTGGCCATACTTCTCTTTTATTGAGGATAGTGCACACCTGTGAATTAAGATAGGTATTCATGGAAAGTATTCATATTCTAGGAAAGGCTGGAATTTCTACTCTTCATGTGTTTTCATGCAGCAAAATGCATATGTTTTGTTGCATAAAAACGGTGTATGAATAGACCCTAAGTGATTTAGTGGCTCTGCAGTAATAGTCTTCTTAGTAAAATGTTGGTTTCAGTTTTGGTTGCCAAAAAGTAGTTATACCTAGCAGCAGTAATAAAAATCCCCAATGTAACTTAGCCCTGGTCAGCTTCCCATGTTGTGTACGAAGCAAAGCTTTTTCTTCAGTAGAATAAAAGTATCAAGATATGGAAAAAGGAACAACCTACATCTAAACTAATACTTTTTGCTTGGTTCCTTAGATTGTTTTCATAAATATATTTCCAGTAATAACTTGTTTTGTGCTTGAATTTACAAATAATCCATTTTACCTTCTATTTTAGAAAAATAAGCTGCTTTCAGACGACATCCTTCAAACGGTCACTGCACTTTCAGAGAAACAGTAAGTTTACGTCATTTCCTACTTTACACGGGTTGATTTTTCCTTTGTCGTCTTTCAGGAATCAACTTGCGAGAACAGTGTTTCTCCCAACAAAACTCAGTATTTTATACATTCTTAGAAGAGGATTGGCTATATCATAACCTTCTCCTTTTTTATTTTTAACTGATTGTCAGCGTAGAGTGGTACTTTACTCACCTGCAAACAGCGATGTGGTTTAGCGACCTGTGAGTTACACTCAACCGGATATGAGGGACAAGGTTTCCTATTCCTTCTGCCTGGGGTTTTCTGTTCTCTTTCAGTCATATGGCAGTGTAGCTTTCAATGCTCACTTCATGTTTGTTGCTCCTTATTTTTTTTGTTTAGGTATGGAGGTCATGTTGTCTCCCTATTAACCAGAGGTCTTCCCATTAGATCACGTTTTGTCATACAACGTCTGTCCAGGAATACTTGTCAGATCAGTGCATTGCAGCCATAGCCATGCAACTGCTGTAGAAGTAAGGGTAAATGGGAACCGAGCTTTCTTGCAGAAGTTGAGACAGGTCTGTTTTCAGTTATTAAGTTGTCTTCATGTACATTTGGCTGGTAGGCAAGGGACCTGCAAGTCTATTTACAAGTCCCTTTTAATGACTGCAGTTAGAGTGGAGATAGTTTCCAGGCTAGGGATTTTCTGTGTACATATACCTGCCATCCCTTGTCAGTGCAATGTAGACAGAGAAGGGAAAGCAGTCCCAGAGTCTGGGATGGTTCCTCAAAGATATGGACTTTCTGTATTGGAAAAAAGGGACCCTGCACAGTCCTGAAATGTTGGCTACTGTAGGATGACCATAAAGGTTGTTTATCAAATTTTCTTCCTTGCATAATGAAGACCAGTGAATAATATTGTTTTTAAGGTAGGCCAGTGAATCCTGCTTGTCGACATCCTGCAGTTACATTCTGTTTGAATTTAGTCCCTCACATCATTCCTTGGTATGCTGAAGACGCTGTATGTGTTAATTTTTACTGTATGTGAACAACATGGACCAATTGTTTAGCCTGTTATTTTAGGGTGTCTTTCAGCATAGATACTATGCTGGCTGTACACATAGCAATTTTCCATTTCAATCAAAAAAACAAGTGAAAGGATCAAGGCAACCCAAGACTCCTTCTTCACATCTATAGCACATGTAGTCTCATCTCCACACTGCACCATAGGCATCCAACAGAAAAATAGATGTAGACATTAGTTTCTGTACTGCATCTGAAGTATGTGTGATTGGCCTTTTATGGTAGTCGATATGTGGGGAAACCTCCCATGGTAGTTTATTGGCTGTCAGGTGCCCATAACCTTTGATAGGTTCATTATATTGAACAAAGTTTTGGATTAAGTTAGTCATAAATGAAGGAGGAAGTTCTGGTCTTCTGATAACATTGAAATGTGCTGGATTAATGTACTTGACGTATAATAACCAATAAATGATACATTTAAAAGCAGATCTTTAGTTCATTTAAAAAATTGAGCAGGCAGGCAGCCATTTATTGCATAAGAGACATGCTATAGCCCTTATTCTGTTAAATATACGTGTTTAATATTATATTAAGTAGTGAAGTAGTCAAAAGAATATACAGAACAATAGCATGTTGTATTTTGTTCTTCAAACATTTTGTTTTTCTTTTTTCCACTCTAAAGTTTTGATATTTTCACCTTCTCTGTTTGGTCTGCTATTACCGGTTTATAATTGTGTTTTTTTTTTTTTTCTTTTTTTTCTTCATAGAGGTGAACCCTCTGAACCTACTGATGAGACAAAGGGAAAAGGTAACATTTAATATGTGACTATTTTCTTGTGTGTGTATTGCCTCGACTATATCATCTTGATAAGATTCTGTAAAGTCAGATTTATATTGTACTTGCAATATTTATTAAATTGTTTGGTTATCAATATATACTTATATAAATTAGGATGCCCCTCCTCACCTGGCAAGTAATAATTACTATCTGGGCTTATTCAATGGGTGAGCGAACGGAGTGGAGATAAATTAGTATAAAATGTTAGCTCCCTAGCACAGCATCCTGAGCTCTGAACGTAAAGACAGTAATTAAAACTAAATGTGAAAGCAAGGATTCATAAACAGGTAGGGTATAATACGGTATGTATGTACCAATTTGAATGAGTTTCAAGAGTTGGAAGCATCCCACCAAGTCCCTTTTTAGAACCATGTTTCAGCAGTCAAAAGTTATCCACTTTCCATCCAGGACTGTGGGCATTTTGAAAGATACAGCAGATCTTCATTTTAAATGGCCACACTGTCTGGTAGCAGCCTGTAGCTTTGGCTATTCGTTTTAATTAGCATTATGGCCTCATGCACACAGGGCTTGAAAAAAACGCATATTGCAAAGGTGTTTTGCATTTTTTTTCCTGCCTCTAAACTCCCCTCTATATTAACCTATGTGTCCACGCACAAGTAGGCCTTTAGAGACAGAAAAGAACCCCAGAGCCAGCACATTCAGGAGAGGAGCGTTTTGGCTAAAAAAAATGCCTGACATACCTAATTGCGTCTAAATGCATTTGCAAAATGCGGCTTTAGGAGCATTTTTAAACACTGTTTTTTTCCTCCTCTGGAGCATGGGTCTTCAGGTGAGTTAAAAAAAAAAAATCCTAAATGGGTGGGGCCTATTATGTGCAAGTTGCTGCATCCTCCTCCAGCAGGAGCAAGCACTGTGGGGTGACAAAACCAATGCTAAATTGAAGGCATCGGGTGAGCATTGTCAGCCCCACTGCAGGATCTCCAATGGACAGCACTGTGACTGGAAGGATTACCAGGTAAAAGTATTACCAGGTAAAAGTTAGTGCAATACAACAGATAACAAGATTAAGGTCTGCAAATTGGCCATTGCTTGTGCAGCTATATATTTTTCATTTTGCAGTTTATATACGCTTTTATAACAGAAAGGTCTCACTTTTTTGTTTGACTCGATCTCTAAAGCCTTCAGTCAGTTTCATCTGTGTTTTTTTCTATTCTACTACCACCAAAGCTGCTTCAACTCTTTCTCTATTGCATTGGAAGAGCTGTTCATGTTCACTTACCAGGCAGGGAGGTTTTCCAGTCAAATATGTGTTTATTGCTTTATAGAGCACTGCATTTGGTACAGAAGTGCCAAGAAGCAGCTAGATAACCAACCTGTCTGTTTAAATGTGCAGAAGCAAGTAGCCAATCAGAGCTGTAGAGGAGAAATTTAAGCATTTGGGTACAAAAGACAAGTTCCAACAAGCTAAAAACAGAGCTAGTCATGCTGTGCGCTATATCTTGTGCGCCCATAATTTAGGACCTAATTTATATCCCTTTCAACAGGCAATGCAGAGAAGAAACACAGTGGCAAACACAAACATGCTAAGAAGTTACGTCCTAGAAAAAGGTACTAGATTTTCTCTTTTTAAAACTACTTTTTCCAAAAGGATATTTGTAGAATTATTTTTTTTTTCTAAATCTGAGCCTGGGCTAATGAAGGGACCATAGTCAAGTTCAAGTTATGTTTTGCAATTTAATTTGAAAGTTAAAATGATATTTAAATGTGTGCCCAGTTTGATTATTGTAGCCCAAAGGTAATCTGACTTTTCCTCACTCATTTCTGGTCTCTGAATGATTGCTGTCCAGAGCTATTACCTGCAGACCTAAAAGTACCCTGAAAGGTTTATTTGTTTTGGTGTATATCTGTTTACACAATTTGAAGCTGCACAATTTAAACACTTTGGAAGCATTGTACTAATTTGGTAGTCCTCATGTCACCTAGACCTGCCCACATGACACATAACTTTCATAGCGGCCAATATCTAGGTCCGGGAATGTTCTTATGATAGGAAGGGGTGATGTCATCACTTTAGCAAAATTAGGTAAACTGGGATGCCTAACAAGGAAAAATCCTGTTATTCTGAAGGGTAGAGTCCCTAAAATAGGGTAACTCAAAAATTGCTTACAAATAATAATGGCCGGCTCACTGATTGTAATACAAAGAGTGGTATCCTCGGAACCAATTAGATATAGACAAAACAAACAGAAACCAGGGAAAGAGATCCACTGGCGTAGAGGTTCCAATGAGAACAACCGCGGCTATATAGAAAACAATTTATTACAGAATCAAATACACAAATAATTAAACAAAAATAAGGATGTCTGACAACCTCACCACACACAGACAAATAAAAAACGGAAAAGGATAGAAGAAAATAGCCCACGCCCCAAGATCCCCGCACCCCTGTCGTGCACCTGGAGAGTCAAAGGGACAGAATAGATGGACCTAAATGAAGATGGTAAATTGTGACAAATGGGAAAAAAGGATTCAATAAATGGAGACAAAAAGCACAATATGATAGCAGCAATAATAAGCATCTAAGAAATTATTCAGATAGGTTTTAAACCATGTATAATGTCATGATTTAGCCTCAGCAATATATGGATGGATCCCCATTAGGGGTAGAGTTCACTCCCACCTGCCTACCTCTCCATTCTTGATAATAACCTCATATCGAGGAAAGTTCTGCATCGTCGCGGATGCTATATGTAATATCTGGAGAGGCAGGGAGTAGATTACTTCAATGTATTGCAATGAGACAAATCGGTGGATAATTTAAACATCAGAAGCATGGTATTCATTGAGATAATGGAGGTCAAAGTTCAACGTTTAAACCACAGTTGTGCTAGACACATGTCATGTGATAAGTCCCATTTATCAAAGCAGGTCAAACAGTAGACGGTATAATAACTGCCAATTCATTCACACACTGGATAATTTACCCAGGATAAGGGCAAATATCTTGCACCCGGAGGGCACAGTTGTATATTAGTAACAACAGTGTGAATATGGCAATTCAAAAAGTCCTGTTCCAATCACAATATTGAGAGAACCCTGTGATTATTAGAGGATTGCCACATCAATGCAGATATGGGTAACATATAGCGATCTATGAAGTAATATAGCGATACACAGCAGGCCTGAAATCGGATGATTCAGAGGCAATGAGGAAAAATGCCAGCCATTTCATGTAGGCAGTAAATCACCATACATTGATGGTATATTAGAGTCATTACATTCTAATGCTGATGTTACTTGAGGTACTCTCACCACATCCTGGGTTTTGCTGTGTAAAGATGGTGGTCTCAGTGAACACTGTTATCAGATCATTATCTGTTCCTACTGTGTAAGGGGGTTTCTCCTGATTTCCCCATCAGCATTATGCATAGGTATACTCCGGTCCTTAATGTGCAGAGCAAGCAGCTGAGCGGCCGGGCTATGTGTCACGGCACCTATTCCTGAATCGTCAGCGTTGTGTGCAGATAGGTACACATCCAGAACATGCAGAGCGGTCAGCGGAGCAGCTGGGATGTAAAGCAGCATTTACCCGCTGGTACACCGGCATGATGTGTACCTGTGTACACATCCAGGACATGCAGGGCGGCTCGCTGGATGGCCAGGCCAGGATGACAGGAATGTGGGTGTCACCAGGATCTGACGTCAATGCGTTTCGCCCACTGGGTCATGTGGGCTTCTTCAGGATGTGGAAGCCATGTTTGTGAAGGTTTTTATAGCTCATAAGAGCCTCGTTTTCAATCGTCCTCCATAACATGGTCTCAGTCAGCATCAGGTAAAGATGAGAAATATAAAATTATAGAAAACATCATTCCGGATAAGAAATCATGTAATCTATACAGAAAGGCATATCACAATTTAGCTAAGTAGCAAAAAGGTGTATAATTACAGTTGTGCAAACACGTGTGGAATGTAAGCCAGAGTAAGATTCACCACAAAACAAAAAATTACATCAAATCCCAAATACAATAAATTACATCTAGAATATATATATATATATATATATATATATATATATATATATATATATATATATATATATATATATAAAAATCTGACAACCATACAGTGTCACTGAGACCTCCATCTTTACAATGCAAGACCCAGGATGTGGTGAGAGTACCTCAACTAACATCAGCATTAGAATGTAATGACTCGAATATACCATCAATGTATGGTGATTTACTGTCTACATCAGCGGTTCTCAACCTGGGGGTCGCGACCCCTTTGGGGGTCGAACGACCATTTCCCAGGGGTCGCCTAAGACCATCGGAAAACACATATTTCCGATGGTCTTAGGAACCGAGACACCGCTCCTCTGACTCAGTCGATGTGTGGGCGGGATGATACGCTGCCCTGTCACCTGGCCACACCTCCGGGATCCCTCAACAACTCCGCCTCCTCGCCGCTGATTGGCCACCGGAACTGTAGCTCAGGAGAGGCACACAGGCGGCCAATCACCGGCGAGGAGGTGGAGCTTGGAGAGGAGGAGCCGAGCGGCAGCGCGCGTAGATCTAAGAAGATCAAGGGAATTGCCGGAGTAAGTGAAGAGGAGAGCGGCCAGAGAAGGAAGACAGCTGACAGGTAAGTGAGAGAGCGAGCCCAGGCTGGAGCAGGGGTCAGCAAGGTAAGTATCATTGGTGTCAGTGGGAGGAATAGTGCCCCATCATTTGTGTGACTAATACCAATAATGGGGCACTATTTCTCCCACTGACACCAATGATGGGGCACTATTTCCCCCCCCCCCCCCGCACTGACACCAATGATGGGGCACTATTCCTCCCCCCCACTGACACCAACGATGGGGCACTATTCCTCCCCCCCCCCACTGACACCAACGATGGGGCACTATTCCTCCCCCCACCGACACCAAGACACCAACGATGGGGCACTATTCCTCCCCCCCCCCCCCCCACACGACACCAACGATGGGGCACTATTCCCCCCCCCCCCCACTGACACCAATGATGGGGCACTATTCCCCCCCCTGACCCAAGATGGGGCACTATTTCCCCCTCCGACACAACACTGGGGACATCAATGACCAATGGGGCACTATTCCCCCCACTGACCCCAATGATGGGGCACTATTCCCCCCCCCCACTGACACCAATGATGGGGCACTATTCCCCCCACTGACACCAATGATGGGGCACTATTCCCCCCCACTGACACCAATGATGGGGCACTATTCCCCCCACTGACACCAATGATGGGGCACTATTCCCCCCACTGACACCAATGATGGGGCACTATTCCCCCCACTGACACCAATGATGGGGCACACTGACACCAATGATTCCCCCCACTGACACCAATGATGGGGCTCTATTCCCCCCACTGACACCAATGATGGGGCTCTATTCCCCCCACTGACACCAATGATGGGGCACTATTCCCCCCACTGACACCAATGATGGGGCACTATTCCCCCCACTGACACCAATGATGGGGCACTATTCCCCCCACTGACACCAATGATGGGGCACTATTCCCCCCACTGACACCAATGATGGGGCACTATTCCCCCCACTGACACCAATGATGGGGCACTATTCCCCCCACTGACACCAATGATGGGGCACTATTCCCCCCACTGACACCAATGATGGGGCACTATTCCCCCCACTGACACCAATGATGGGGCACTATTCCCCCCACTGACACCAATGATGGGGCACTATTCCCCCCACTGACACCAATGATGGGGCACTATTCCCCCCACTGACACCAATGATGGGGCACTATTCCCCCCACTGACACAATGATGGGGCACTATTCCCCCCACTGACACCAACGATGGGGCACTATTCCCCCACTGACACCAACGATGGGGCACTATTCCCCCCACTGACACCAACGATGGGGCACTATTCCCCCCACTGACACCAACGATGGGGCACTATTCCCCCCACTGACACCAACGATGGGGCACTATTCCCCCACTGACACCAACGATGGGGCACTATTCCCCCACTGACACCAACGATGGGGCACTATTCCCCCACTGACACCAACGATGGGGCACTATTCCCCCACTGACACCAACGATGGGGCACTATTCCTCCCACTGACACCAACGATGGGGCACTATTCCTCCCACTGACACCAACGATGGGGCACTATTCCTCCCACTGACACCAACGATGGGGCACTATTCCTCCCACTGACACCAACGATGGGGCACTATTCCTCCCACTGACACCAACGATGGGGCACTATTCCTCCCACTGACACCAACGATGGGGCACTATTCCTCCCACTGACACCAACGATGGGGCACTATTCCTCCCACTGACATCAGTGATGGGGCACTACTCCTTCCACTGCAAAATTACAGTTATGAAGTAGCAACGAAAATAATTTTATGGTTGGGGGTCACCACAACATGAGGAACTGTATTAAGGGGTCGCGGCATTAGAAAGGTTGAGAACCACTGTTCTACATGATATGGCTGGCATTTTTCATCATTGCCTTTGAATCATCTTATTTCAGGCCTACTTTGTATCTCTATATTACTTCATAGATCGCTCTATCCGTTACCCATATCTGCATTGATATGGCAATCATCCAATAATCACAGGGTTCTCTCATTATTGTGATTGGAACAGGACTTTTTGAATTGCCATATTCACACTGTTGTTACTTATATACAACTGATATATGCCCTTATCCTGGGTAAATTATCCAATGTGTGAATGAATTGGCAGTCGTCATATCGTCTAGTGTTTGACCTGCTTTGATAAATGGGACTTATCACATGACATGTGTCTAATCACAATTGTGGTTTCGACATTGAACTTTGACCTCCATTATCTCCGTGATTACCATGCTTATGATGTTTAAATTATCCACCGATTTGTCTCATTGCAATACATTGAAGCAAGCTACTCCCTGCCTCTCCAGATATTACATTTAGCATTCGTGATAATGCAGAACTTTCCTCGATATGAGGTTATTATTAAGAATGGAGAAGTAGGCAGGTGGGAGTGAACTCTACCCCTAATGGGGATCCATCCATATATTGCTGAGGCTAAATCATGACATTATACATGGTTTAAACCTATCTGAATAATTTCCTAGATGCTTATTACTGCTGCTATCATATTGTGCTTTTTGTCTCTATTCATTTATTGAATCCTTTTTTTCCCATTTGTCACTATTTACCATCTTCATTTAGGTCCATCTATTATTTCCCTTTGACTCTCCAGGTGCATGCTAGGGGTGCCGGGATCTTGGAGCGTGGGCTATTTTCTTCTATCATTTTCCATTTTTTATTTGTCTGTGTGTGGTGAGGGTGTCAGACATCCTTATTTTTGTTTATTAATTTTGTATTTGATTCTGTAATTTTTGTTTTCTATTTAGCCGTGGTTACGCCAGTGGATCTTTTTCCCTGGTTTCTTTCTGTTTGTTTTGTGATGTCATCACTTCCTGTAGTGTTGGCTATGACTGTGGGTGGAGATGAGAGCAAAGAGGTCAGAAGGGTGAGCTTTAAACAGTGTCACTTTTAATGGTTTGTCCTGGTTTCCCCATGGGTGGAGTTCCCTGTGTGGATGAATTTGGCTTAGCAGAACTTTGGTCAAATAACTAAAAAAAAAAAAGAAAGTTGCCATCTGGTTTCTGTGAATAATCCCAGTCTCTCCTGTAATACTTGAGTAGTAACTAAACTGACAGTATACAGTGCATTCATAAAATATTCAGATCCCCTTCACTTTTTATTATTATAAATGAAAAACTTGAAATATCAAATTTGAAATAAGTATTCAGATCCTTTGCAACAACACCTGAAATTTAGCTCAGATGCCTCCCATTTCTCTTAAAAGTTGCTGAGATGTTTCCACACCTTAATTGAAGTACATCTGTGATAATTTAAATTGATTGGAAATGATTTGGAAAGGCACAGACCTCTGCATGCATGCTGTATTAGAGCAAAAGCTCTAAGGTCAAAGAAACTGCCTGCAGAGCTCATAGACAGGATTATTGCAAGGCACAGATCTGGGGAAGGCTACAAAAAGTTCTGCTGCATTGAAGGTTCCTAAGAGCACAGTCGCCTCCATAATTCTCAGATGGCAGAAGTTTGGCACAACCAGGGCTCCTCCAAGACCCGATCACCCACCTGGCCCTGCTGAGCAATCAGGAGAGAAGGGCCTTAGTAAGAGAAGTGACCAAGAACCCAATGGTCACTCTGACTAAGCTCCAGAGATCCTGTGTGGAGATGGGGCAAAGTTCCAGAAGGACAACCATCACTGCAGCCCTACAACGATCTGGACTTTTTAGCAGAATGGCTATACAGAAGCCTGGCCTCGATGCAAAACACATGAAAGTCTGCTTGGAGTTTGCCAAAAAGATTTGGTCTGTGCCTTGCAATAATTCTGCCTCTGAGCTCTGCATGCAGTTCCTTTTGACCTTATGGCTTTTGTTCTGATGCCATATGCTATCAGAACAAAAGCCATAAGGTCAAAAGGAACTGTCAGCTCTGAGGGCTTTTATTGAGAGGTGTGTGCCTTTCCAAATCATGTTCAATCAATTTAATTTACTACAGGTGGACTCCAGTCTAGGTGTAGAAACATCTCAGCAATGATCAAAAGATATGGGAGGCACCTGAGCTAAATTTCAAGTGTTGTTGCAACGGTCTGGATACTTATGCCAATGTGATATTTCAGTATTTTAATAAATTCACAGACATTTCTAAAATTCTGTCTTAATTTTGTCACTGAGTATATGGTACTGAGTGTAGATTAATGAGAAAGAAATTTATTAAAATAACTGTAGTATCAGGCTGCAACATAACAAAATTGAAAAAAGTGAAGGTGGTATGAATACTTTATGAATGTACTATATATTTTGAAAGATTACAGTTGTGGTTTTTTTTTTTTTTATGTTTTTTTTTCTAAGACACAGAAACTGCTTGATAGAAATGAATGAATGTTTTCCAATCTTATGTGGCATGATTCTCTTTTCACAGGCTCCAAAACAAATATGCTGTTGTGCACCTGAATGATCAAAATACAGTAGATTTACAGCAACAAAAGGCAAAACAGTTCCTCCAGAACATATTGTATGGAAAAAACAAAAACAGGACCACAGGTTTGTATTGAACGATTGTGGTGAATCATTTTATCTGTCTGTGATGACTTTTATTTAAAGCGGTATTAAACACAACTTTTTTTTTTTTACTTCCCCTATATAAAAGCATTTAATATGTTAGCACAGTCCAGTGATGGTGACACCTCTGCGCATGTGGGTAATATTTAGAATTAGGAAGGTTGAAAGAAAGTTAAATTTGTGTTGTCTGCTCTTATAAATTCTACTTGAATTAAAAATAAAAAGATAAATTAACCTTACTGTGTCCTTCTTTGCTCTTAACTCTCTCAGTAGCAGTTTGATTAACTACCTAGATCAGTCATCCAAATGATAAATTATGCAAAATGTGCTTGAAAAAGAGACGCCATGATTAAAGTCACTTTGAAAACCCTACAAACAAACTTTAGTGGGTACTATATTCTACAGCAATAAGGATAACCATTTTTTCCTTTGGAAGCTGAAAACGGAATCAAAGTTAAAGGATTTTTTTAAATACTTAAAAGTGTCACCTGTTTGTGTGTCTGCATTTCGCTTGTTGATACTATTATGCTGGTCATATACAGCACACAGCCATGTGATTGTTTTGATATAGTCTTTTTCACATAACGAGCAGCTGAACTGCTGCTAGTTTGGCTTGGGAATGAACATCATGTTGAGAAAGTTGGTATAGTCACGCTTGGGGACGGGAAGAAGTTAAAAGTAAAAATGTGTTCAGTTTACTTTCTCTCATTGCATGGACTTTCTCAATTAAGTATTACTTAAAAGTTAATAGTTTAGCAATACCATATCCCTAAAATAGCACATTTTAACTAAAATTACACAAACCCAAAGTAGGTTATCGTTTCACTGGTCATCAGCTTGCATATAGACATATGGAAAATGCTGATTTGACATTTGTTACAAAAATGCACATGTCAAAAGTCAGGAGGAAAAGAAGTAGTGCATGTATATGATTTCAGACTTCTGGGTAGGGGGCTCCTGCTGTCGGTGCTATCACTGGCTCCAGCACATGCTGATCACCGGGTCCCAGGCCATGATTTATGACTGGGACCTACTGTTCAGTGGAGAGAGCTCTGTGTTAGTAAACAACAAAGATCATTTGTAGACAGTATAACTTTCAGGCAAACCAATTAATATACGCTTATTGGGATTTTTTTTTTTTTTTTGTAATCAAAGACATGTAGCAGAATATATTTTGGCCTAAATTTATGAAGAAATTTGATTTTTAAAATTTTTTTTATTGGACGTGTTTTATAGCAGAAAGGAAAAGTCTTTGTTTTTTTCAAAATGTTAGGTCTTTTTCCGTTTTATATACTAAAAAATAAAAACCCAGTGGAGATCAAATACCAACAAAAGAAAGCTCTATTTGTGGTGAAAAAAAGGATATCAATTTCATTTGGGTACAGTGTTGCAGGTCGCGCAATTGCCAGTTAAAATATTGCAGTGCCAAATAGCAAAATAAGGCCTGGTCATGAAGGGGGTAAAATCTTCCAGAGGGCAAGTGGTTTTGCTATATGGTAGGATGGTTCCCTGGATAGTATAATGCCTCTTATATCAGCTGATAATATGCATAACACCTTTCATATTTGTACTTTTGTCTTTTTGCAGCAAATGAATTTTTTTCCATTTCAAGAAAAAAGGGAGCAAACAAAATGCCAGCAGTTCAGTTTACAGTCAACTCCTGGGGTATGTAATAACCAGCACCATTTATTTATTTGTTTCCAAAATACCATCAAGTAACAGGAGTGAAATGTTTTCCTAATGCAGGCCATAGACGGGGAGAAAACCGGCCGTTTTTTTTTTTTTGTAGAAAAATCAGCCGACGTTACCACCATTGGTAGAAAAAAAGTCGGCTGATTTTCGTCCTGTCTACGGCCGGCAATTAATATAATAGCAGTGTCCCTGCAGAGAGCTCTGCTATATTTGACATTTAAAAGAAGAAGAAATAGAATATGAATAATAGGAAGAGAAAGTTGCAACATTGTGTCTATTTGTATCCATTTCAGATACAGATGTTTCTATTCGGATACAAATAGATACAATGTTGCAACCCTTATACTTTTAAATGTCAAATATCATAGCGGAGCTCTCTGCAGGGACACCGCTAATAGATTTGACATTTCTAAGTATTGCGGTTGCAAACATCTGTATCTATTTGTATGGATACAGATAGATACAGATGTTCTTTTTCTTTGGTCATGGCTCATGCGCATTTTTTTAATCGGGAAAAAGATCGTCCGATTTGACCATCATTGCCGTGAAAATTGGCCGATGGGCAAAATTGGCCGTTTTTTTCCCCAACATGAACAATTAAAAAAATGTGTCAAAATCAAGAAAACTGGCCGACCAATTCAGCCACTAACGATCCGAAAATCGGCCGATTATTTTTTTGGACGAATTTCGGCCGGTTTTTTCTCCCAGTCTATGGCCTGCATAACTGTGTAAAAGTGTCTGTTTTTTGTGTAAGAAACATCTTTTGTTGGCATAAATACTGTGGGGTGAATTATCAAAATTGGAGTAGAAAGAATCTGGAACACCTGTGTATGGCAACCAGTTAGCTTCTATCTACAGCCTCTTCAGTTAAGCTTTGAAAATAAAACATAGAATCTGGTTGCCGCGCAAAACTCCAGTTTTGATTCCAATCCACTAATTATTCCTTTAAAGTATAACTAAAGGCAAAACTTTTTTTTTTGGATAGAGTGGAGAGAGATTAGAAACCATGCCAGTTTTTATTGCTTTCTGTGCCCCCATTAAGGAGATTCACCCTCTCTCATTTTCCTGTTTAGCAATACCATTGAAAGTAAAAGAGAATCCTGAATTTTGGGTTGTCCCCAGAAAAGTAATAAAGGGGAAATTTTCCTATGGGGACACCAGTTCTGGTGACCAGGGGGTCCCCAAGAAATTCCATTATTTTGCAGGGATTACCTTTCACTTCCTGTTTGGCTATGGGACAGGAATTGAAGGGAAATCTCTGAAATGGGACACAGATGGCAAAAAACATCTGACGGGTCATAACCCTCCCTTGCTCTGTCCAAAATGGGAAAAAAAAAAGAAAAGTTTTACGTATATTTCTACTGTAAGGCTTTCTCATCAACATTTCTGTTTTCTAAAGAAATCCTGCCGCTTTCATTCTTTTTGCACTACTGGAAGTGCAACAATAAAGAATTGTGAAAAAAATGACAAGCACAAAGTCCTGCAGCTAAATAAAAGGGAGCAAATCTATCAATATACAGTGTGTGTGTGTAGAAGTACAGTGTGTTGCTAGTGACCCGATTTCAAATACTTATATTTAATAATGAAAATGTGTTACAGTTACATAACAAATTACACATTTCTAAGCAAGTCCTCAAGTTTCTCTCAGCATGTTATAAATGCTCTATGTGCCCTCCACCTGCTGCACGGATAACAGCAAGATGATCGCTGAATTCATCCCCAATGTGTCTGAGAGTGTCTTCTTCCACAGAAGTTACTGCAGCCGTGATTCTGTTTTTTTATCTTATCCAAGTCAGCGGGTAATGGTCGAACATAAACACGTTGTTTTACATATCCCCACAAGAAAAAGTCAGGGTGTAATGTCTGCAGATCTTGGAGGCCAAGAGTGTAGTGCCAAGTATTGGGGTTCCATGAGACCTATCCAACAGTGAGGCAATGTTTCATTTATAAACTGACGAACTTGGTTGTGCCAATGTGGCAGTGCTTCATCTTGCTGAAAAATGAAATCTTCAGAGTCTTCATTAAGTTGTGGGAAAAGTCAGTCCTTCAGTATTTCAAGATAAGAATGTCCCGTAACTGTGTTTCCCTCAAAAAAAGAAATGGCCATAAATCTATGTAAACTAAACCACACAAAACACATACATTTTTGGTGAATCTCACTCATGCTGCACATGTTTTTGTGTGGCTTCTCAAGTCCCCGTTTTGTGAACATTGTGACATGAAACTTTACCGCTTAGGTGAAATGTTGTTTTATCATTAAAAATCAAATGCTGTAAGAATCTGTTGTCCTCCATGTCGTCTGAGAGCATATGACAGAAATCTAAATGTTTTCTTCTGTCACTTACATGAAGAGCTTGCACCAGTTGCAATCAGTATGGCCTCGGAAGCAAACATCATGTTAACACCCCAAACAGTTGTATGTGGGATCGTAAGTTCTCGGCTAGCATGAAGAGCGGGCTTCGCTAAAAAGCCTCTTGAATTCGTTACACAGTTTCCTCCTGAAGTACATGGTTGCCCTGGACTTTTCCCCTTACAGTTCTTCAGATTATTTATACCAACGATGAATGTTCATTTCTACTGGTGGATCAATCTCGAAATGCTGTTGGAGTTCACGCTGCACTGTTATTACAGACTCAGTCATGCTAAATTGGAGGGCACAAAACACCTTCTGTTGCATAGACGCCATCTTGTTAATGACTGAGGTTAGCATCTATTGGGCACTAGTAGTGGTATCTAGCAGCTGTCATTTGAAAATGTAGGCCACGCCCAGTTTAGTAGTACAGGTTTCATTCATTGGCAGGGTACAGTTTCACAGGTATAAGGTTTTAAAATTGGGTCATTCTTTTTGAAACACACTGTTATAAAAGAGGTCATTTTTTGGGGGGGGTTGTGTAGTCCAGGAAAAGAGAACTCCAGCAGTGCTTTAAACATAGCTTGGGAGTTGTCTGCTCACTACAAGAAGTTAGGAGCACTCTAGATTTCTAGCAGGATTTCTGTACTTTTTTTTAAAGAGATAAAACATGGATATGTATGTGTATTGCAAAGATGTACTTTATACTTTTTTAAACTTGATATTTTCCATGCATACTATTAAAGTGAAAGCTTGACCTTCTTTTATCCTTTAGTAAATCCACCCCATTGTGTGTATACTGTTGTGGGAAAACTTTTGATCACCATTATTATTTTTATAAACAGGAAAAGAGGAGAAAAAGAAAGCAGCGAAGTTCAACCTTCAGTGGAGGAATAGAAAGAAACTCTGAACTTGCCATGAAAAAGACTGTAAATTGTTGTAATACGTTTGCTGCACAGTGCATGTTTTCCTGGCTTCCACTGAAAATCTATAATGATTTACTGTTCTTATCTGGGCATGTGCTGAGCCATTGTTTTTCTTTAAACCGTATGTTCTACTACTTAATGGTTACTCTTGGTAATTTGTGTATGGGTTGACTGACGGGGAAAAAGTTTCATGTAACAAACTATGACCAGATGGGAAATAAACAGATCAGACACCACATAAAGGAAAGCAACACCAATTTTGTCTATTTGCATCTTGTAAGGTAAGAACCCAGCCAATGCACCCTAAACATTTATACTTCTATCAAAATTCCTTCCTAATAATTAAAGGTGAAGTAAGGCCAAAGCGCTTTTGGTCATACTTCTCTTCGGGGACTTAGTTCTGCACTCTTGTGACCCAGATTCAGCAGACAGCTAAAGCCCGCTGTTGGCTGATGTCATGGAGCCGGTCCAGGCTCTGCAGGGATCAAAACAATGTCTGAATCCATTTAGGATTCGTCAGGAGCCTGAGCCAGCTGTGCTTGCCCCCTCCACAGCCCGGTGGTTTAGTAGGCACTGGAGAGGCAGAGCAGAGAGCTGGTGACTGACAGTCACTGTTCTGCTCAGCGAAGACCAAAAACATTCATACTTACCTAAGTGAATGCAGCATCGGTCCAATGCCACAGCTGTTCCTTACCAACTCTAAGACCAAGAACTGAGCGATCATTGCTCACATGATTGCTCAGTTCTTGGCCTTAGAGCTGGTAGGGAACAGCTGTGGCATTGGACCGATGCTGCATTCCCCTAGGTGAGTATGAATGTTTGTTTTTTTGTGTAATCCTGCACTTCTCTTTTAAAAGGTGTCAATTTGTGCAGAAGTCTAAATTTTCTCACAATCACTTATCCTTTTAGAGGGTACTGCTACCTGACAGATTTTACAACTAATATTGGCAATATGCATACATCTGCTAGCTTCAGACCACAAGGTTTTGTGTGTGTGGCTCCACTGAATGAGCATTGGAGTGAAGAAACTGAGCCCCATATTTATGGACAGCAGCAGGAGAGCAAAGAGTTCAGTGTTTAAGCTTCAGATGTGAAGCAGCAGAGCTGTAGCAGCTGCTATGCAGTTTGCTGGCTGCAGTGCTTTAGAAAGGCAACATTGGAGAAAGGTACCTGAGCCCCAGGTATATGCGTAGTGAGAGAACTGCAGAATCTTCCCTTGCATGGTCCTGCACAACAAGAGTCACCAGAGCTGCAGCAGCTGTGTCTGGGGCTTATTTTCTTGCAGAGAATGAGACAAGTCATCCAGTACATAGGCATCTGGTTGGTGCTGGCATTACTGGTCTATGTCACAGGTCTTTATTACAGGCAGTCCCTGGTTACTGGCACTCTGGAACCTTGCTTTTTAGACTTTTTCAGTATTTGCATGGGTTGTATTCGGAATTAATGCAATAATATGGCAGGAGGGATCAGCAGTTACAGAAATATATGAACCATTTGTGCCTGATGTTGAGCTTTAAATATAGTTTTTGACTTTATGGTAGATTGGAAAATATGCACTGCTGGGGATCAGAAACCCAAAATACCACTGTTGTACAGAGTGTGGGTTCATTTTATTATGCTATGGGTTTCTGTGAAACCAATTTTATTATAATGTACAGCTGTACACAAGTAAATTAGTAGAATTTATTTTCTTCTTTTAATAAAAAAACATTTTTTTCTCGATTTAGTGAGATGTTTATCAAGTTGGTAAAGGCTACAGTGCCTTGAAAAAGTATTCGTACCCCTTGAAATTTTCCACATTTTGTCATATGTACAACCAAAAACGTAAATGTATTTTATTGGAATTTTATGTGATAGACCCACACAAAGTGGCACATAATTGTGAAGCGGAAGGAAAATGATAAATGGTTTTCAAAATTTTTTACATCTGAAAAGTGTGGCGTGCATTTGTACCCAGCCTCTTTGCTCTGATACCCCTAACTAAAATCTAGTGGAACCAATTGCCTTCAGAAGTCACCTAGTTAGTAAATAGAGTCCACCTGTGTGTAATTTAATCTCAGAATAAACACAGCTGTTCTGTGAAGCCCTCAGAGGTTTGTTAGAGAACATTAGTGAACAAACAGCATCATAAAGGCCAAGGAACACACCAGACAGGTCAGTGTAAACGTTGTGGAGAAGTTTAAAGCAGGGTTAGGTTCTAAAAACATATCCCAAGCTTTGAACATCTCACAGAGCACTGTTCAATCCATCATCCGAAAATGGAAAGAGTATGGCACAACTGCAAACCTACCAAGACATGACCATCCACCTAAACTGACAGGCTAGGCAAGGAGAGCATTAATCAGAGAAGCAGCCAAGTGGCCCATGGTAACTGGAGGAGCTACACGTCATGCAGTCCACAAATCTGACCTTTATGGAAGAGTGACAAGAAAAAAAGCCATTGTTGAAAGAAAGCCATAAGAAGTCCTGTTAGCAGTTTGCGAGAAGCCATGTGGGGGGGACAGCAAACAAGTGGAAGAAGGTGCTCTGGTCAGGTGAGATGAAAACTGAACTTTTTGGCTGAAAAGCAAAACGCTATGTGTGGTGGAAAACTAACACTGCACATCACCCTGAACACACCATCCCCACCGTGAAACGTGGTGGCAGCATCATGTTGTAGGGATGCTTTTCTTAAGCAGGGATAGGGAAGCTGGTCAGAGTTAATTGGAAGATGGATGGAGCCAAATACAAGGCAATCTTAGAAGAAAACCTGTTAGAGTCTGCAATTGACTTGAGACTGGGGAGGAGGTTCACCTTCCAGCAGGACAACAACCCTAAACATACAGCCAGAGCTGCCATGGAAGGGTTTAGATCAAAGCATATTCATGCGTTAGAATGGCCCAGTCAAAGTCCAGACCTAAATCCAATTGAGAATCTGTGGCAAGGCTTGAAAATTGCTGTTCACAGACACTCTCCATCTAATTTGACAGAGCTTGAGCTATTTTGCAAGGAAGAATGGGAAAAAATTTCACTCTCTAGATGTGCAAAGTTGGCAGATACATCCCCAAAAAGACTTGCAGCTATAATTTCAGCAAAAGGTGGTTTTACAAAGTATTGATTCGGGGGGGGGCTGAATACAAATGCACGTCACATTTTTCAAATATTCATTTGTAAAAAATTTTAAAAACCATTTATCATTTTCCTTCTACTTCACAATTATGTGCCACTTTGTGTTGGTCTATCACATAAAATCTCAATAAACTATATTTACATTTTTGGTTGTCACATGACAAAATCTGGAAAATTTCAAGGGGTATGAATACTTTCAAGGCACTGTATGTACAGTGGGGCAAAAAAGTATTTAGTCATCCACCAATTATGCTAGTTCTCCCACTTAAAAAGATGAGAGAGGCCTGTAATTGGCATCATAGGTAGACCTCAACTATGAGAGACAAAATGAGAAAAAAATCCAGACAATCACATTGGCTGATTTGGAAAAAATTTATTTGCAAATTATGGTGGAAAATAAGTATTTGGTCAATATGAAAAGTTCATCTCAGTACTTTGTTATATATCCTTTGTTGGCAATGACAGAGGTCAAACGTTTCCTGCAAGTCTTCACAAGGTTGGCACACACTGTTGCTGGTATGTTGGCCCATTCCTCCATGCAGATCTCCTCTAGAGCAGTGATGTTTTGGGGCTGTCGCTGGGCAACACGGACTTTCAACTCCCTCCAAAGGTTTTCTATGGGGTTGAGATCTGGAGACTGGCTAGGCCACTCCAGGACCTTGAAATGCTTCTTACGAAGCCACTCCTTCGTTGCCCGGGCGGTATATTTGGGATCATTGTCATGTTGGAAGACCCAGCCATGTTTCATCTGCAATGCCCTTGCTGATGGAAGGATGTTTGCACTCAAAATCTCACGATACATGGCCCCATTCATTCTGTGCTGTACATGGATCAGTCGTCCTGGTCCCATTGCGGAGAAACAGCCCCAAAGCATGATGTTGCCACCCCTATGCTTCACAGTAGGTATGGTGTTCTTTGGATGCAACTCAGCATTCTCTCTCCTCCAAACACAAGTTGTGTTTCTACCAAACAGTTCTATTTTGGTTTCATCTGAACATATGACATTCTCCCAATCCTCTTCTGGATCAACCAAATGCTCTCTAGCAAACTTCAGACGGGCCCGGACATGTACTGGTTTAAGCAGGGGGACACGTCTGGCACTGCAGGATCTGAGTCCCTGGCGGCATAGTGTGTTACTGATGGTAGCCTTTGTTACATTGGTCCCAGCTCTCTGCAGGTCATTCACTAGGTCCCCCCGTGTGGTCCTGCGATTTTTGCTCACCTTTGTTGTGATTATTTTGACCCCACGGGGTGAGATCTCGCGTGGAGCCCCAGATTGAGGGAGATTATCAGTGGTCTTGTATGTATTCCATTTTCTAATTATTGCTCCCACAGTTGATTTGTTCACACCAAGCTGCTTGCCTATTGCAGATTCAGTCTTCCCAGCCTGGTGCAGGTCTACAATTTTGTTTCTGGTGTCCTTCGACAGCTCTTTGGTCTTCACCATAGTGGAGTTTGGAGTGTGACTGTTTGAGGTTGTGGACAGGTGTCTTTTATACTGATAACAAGTTCAAACAGGTGCCATTGATACAGGTAATGAGTGCAGGACAGAGGAGCCTCTTAAAGAAGAAGGTACAGGTCTGTGAGAGCCAGAAATCTTGCTTGTTTGTAGGTGACCAAATACTTATTTTCCACCATAATTTGCAAATAAATTCTTTCCAAATCAGCCAATGTGATTGTCTGGATTTTTTTTCTCATTTTGTCTTTCATAGTGATGTCTGCCTATGATGCCAATTACAGGCCTCTCTCATCTTTTTAAGTGGGAGAATTTGCTCAATTGGTGGCTGACTAAATACTTTTTTGCCCCACTGTACATAGAATTCTGCAGATAGCATGGGAACTCTAGCTGTCCTCAATCTGAATCTAATCTTGAATA